ACTGAAAATTTTCGAAGAAGAACAATCACAAGTAGGCCTAGTAAAAATTACCTTATTTTGCAAGCTGGCGCCTCTTCACCTAATCATCAAGTCCCCACTTCGCCCCCCCCCCCATTTCAAGGGTATTACAAACGCCACTGTATTTCATGAAAAACCTGTATTTATAAAAAAAAAATGTCAGTATTTCATCGTTCATTTCTGGGAGCAGCAATTTTGGCGGGAGTGATCTTTGCAGGACGTCCCACATTAGACAAGAATCGGGGGATAATTAAGAAAGACAACTGACTTTGCTAGGTTGTTGCAATTGTATGGGACATGTATTTCCGTAAGCGTCTTCAATTAGCGCTGACGCGTGGACCTATTAGACATAATTTCTGACGATCCCTGTTAAACGCGTTTTTGATTGGAACAAACACAAACTTGCCAAGGGCGTGGCGCCTCCTAATACGACTTCTTGGCTCTGCTTTGGAAATTTCGCAATTATCAGATCGTGTATGATGTCGGAGGACGGTGATCTATTCTTCTTTAAGCTTATTTATTATGTGAAATCTTGGAATTGAGAATCATAATACTTAATGGCCTATGAACGATAATGATAATATCTACATGTATAATTGTATAGGCCTATTATGTTTAATGATTTCTGCCAATACTGTAACCTCGAAACGATTTAGAGCTCACGACGTCAATGTTTCGTTATCATAATCACTATCAGAAACTCTATCCATCAAGTGCTTTGTTATTGTATATTTTATTATAGTCCTAGTAGAATGTGTCGCTTTCGTACCTCCAACGTCAACGATCTTTGTATCGTAATATCTGCATGACATTATGTTTTTTATCGAAATCTTAATATTTCAATTTTTGCTTTTTAATGTTGTGTTTTAATATTCCCAATTACTGTATTAAGAGAATAGTTATTATATAATTATTAGTATTGTTATAAAATGTTGTTTAAAATATTAATATAAATATTATTATCATTATTGTAGGCCCACTGAAGATAAGAATGATGGTGATAGGCCTCATGATGATAAAGGTTGAAGAGAATGATGATGGATGAATGTCATATCAAAGTTTAACATGAGCATGTTCATCATGTAGTCAGCATTGGAATTTACTACAGTATTTCATACTTCTCTTATCCCTCTCGGTATCTGAAGCGGTGATAGCCTAACCCCCCAGTTGTGCGGAAATAACAAGGTCGCGGCCATCAGCCTGTGTCCTTTATGTGACAAGAAGACGGAAAGAGTGTGGACAGAGAATGATGGATGTGCGGAGATGCAAACACACGACATGTTTGCGTTTGCTTGTCACATATTTGCCGCATCTCCGGGCTGCCAATTGTCATCAATAACTCTAAAGTCATACAGCTCTCAGTAGCGATAACCGTTCCCGACAAACGTAAAGCGCAAACGGAAAGGCAAAAACAAGCACAGGCTTTGGGCAGCCGAAGCGGAAATCCGCGGTGATTGGCAGGCCTAGATCAAAGTCTATCCATATAACTGGATGCTGTTTCTGTACGAGGATTATTTATGAACCTGCCTCATGAGATTTGAATGCATAAGGGGATATGAACTGCGCAATACATAATTCACAACGTAATGAAGACTGATCGTCCTATGGCCATAAAACTTTACGGGATCTGGAGACAGACCAGAAAGAAGCCGACACGCTATAAATAAAGGCTGATGGAAGACGTTAAATGCCTGTCAGGGTAATAACGAATTTGCACTGATGATGGACGCCTACAAACAACCGATCCATTATAGAGAGGATTTTGGTGCTATCGTAGATGGCGCCATCTACATTTTGATACCATATCGTCATAATAAATTCACACGCATTTTCGGTTTTTCTTTAGGTGACAAACACGAAAGCAATTTTATTTCCAATCGGAGAATAATTTGTTGGATGGATTGGCGGCACCAAAGTACATTCTCATTTAAAACAAATGGTTCATTTCGTTGTTTTACCTACGGCAATGAGCACTTCTGATTCAAAGTTTAAAAAATGAATAATTGCTAATGAATGGCATGAGCCTGTGGTACCGTACTTTATGACGCTTCACCTCTGTCAAAATATATTTTAACGCCTTTTTTCATGGACGTATGTTTCAACTTTAAAGTTACTACCGTATTTCATTATATACAGTACACCAAAAGTCAGTACTTCATAGAAATTATTTCTATTCCTATCTCCCCTATAGTTTCATATATTAGGCCTATATAAACTGTCGCTTATAATAGGGCATTCAAAATGCCCATTACCTATTAATTCACTCATTCTACGCCGGTAATTAGTTTATTACCGAAAACATATCGCAATAAATGAGATACAACCATGAAGTTCCTCTATGGTGTCGTCGCTATCGTCTGCCAAGGACAAATGATATTCAGTTTGATGACAAGTCCTTGTTTCTGATACTCAGCCTTGCTGCTGACTTGTGATCTACTTATCCTGTTTGCGTTCACTTTTTATTACTTCATTGCCGATGAAAACAAAGCCAAGGCACTACCATCATATTTATCAATGAATTTCGTTACTCCTTCTAAGTCTGTGACGTGGTAATATCATTTAAATTAAGAAATAGTCGCATCAACTGAAGCTAGGTGGAGCTGGGCGGAAAGCGAAGTTTGCGCGTGTCATCACGTTTGGTACGGTACACAGAAGGCTCATACTGTACATTATTACGAAACAGCACGGAATGACATAATTTTCACTACGCGAACAACCTGGCAATCCGTCTGTAATACTGTAGAACCCTATAATCAAGCATTTCGCATGTCATCACTATTATTTAACACACACGCTACTAATCCGGATTAGAGCGTACCGCATCTATCCAAGTTCGAACGACAAAAAAGTCAAAAATCTTCATTTACGCACTCAAGAGTGTGTACCCAAGTTCAAACGAAAAAAAGGAGTGTTTTCAGGTAGATACCGCTTCTTTTCGAGATAGGTTTCTTGTCGATGCTATTTTTGCAAAGTAAAGAGTAGGTTTCTTTTTAAAATGAATGCTGTAAATTGTGGAAATTATTCTACTAAAACAATATAGGGCCCCGGTAACATCAATCTGTATTATGGAATGAACCGGCATTAAATGACCTTAACTACAGTATAAACCAAGCGTGTTTTAAATTTATTCTGTTCCTTTGAAATTCATGTACTGTACAGTGTAGGCCTATGTACATGCTCTATCACGAAAAAAACAAAGCCCATACTATCTTGAAAAGAAGCCCTTGGTATCTTTTCCGAGGCTACTTTTGCAAACTAATGAGGGGACTTCAATTCGAGATGGACGACTTCTCGAGATCAAGCCCATTGGATTTCTATTCAAGGTTTTACGGATATATTTTTCCAAAGTGGAGACAGAAAAAAATGGCACATTTCAAGATTTAACCGATTGATCTAAACTCCAGCGGGTTATCATTTACCAATACAAAATAGTATTGTGATTGTTAACCATGAACCCGACATTAATTTTCAATTGTCAGTACTTGAGCGACATGGAAAACACAACAATATTGTTTTGGCCTAATGGCACGACGATGCCTAACCCAGTACAATACATATTTCGAGGCGAGTAAGGGGGTTACTCCGGTGTATTGGTCCATACATTCCCTTGTTGTGGAAAGGTGAGCGTAGCTGGTTACCGGTCTACCGAGAAGGTCAGACACGAAGAGACGTTGGGGAAGATCAAGTTTTAAGCTAGTCAACACTTCGTCGAGCAAACTTATTTAAAGCGCTATACTGTATATAAATCCAACGACATTCATTTTTAACAAGGATTCAATAATTATTTAAAAGAATTTTAATGCAATTAATTCATTTGTGTAAGTTTTAATGAAGAAGTTTTTTATTTTTCTTTTGCAAGGCTGCCAGCGTTTCAAACCCCGGCTAGGGCTTGTCTCACTCATGGGTCCGGGTGGAAGACAAGGTTTAAACATGGCCCTCACTCGAAAATCCCAGTAAATCCTAGTTTCCGACAACGAATTGTTCACGTTCAATGTTATAGGCTAGGCCTGGTGCCTGACGATGTCAAGACAGTAAGCCGAACCGCCAAAAATTGATTTCTATTTTCCTGTTTTTTGTGTGTGTTTTTTTTAAGCTTAACCCACGACTAGAGATAATAGGACTATATGTCCACACGTTCTTAGCTAAACCATGCAACATTTTAATCCTAGATTTAGCGTTCAGTTTTTTCGACCATCTCTGCCTACACGTATTCATTTCATATATAATATAGAAACGAATGTTTTAGTCATTATAGCCTAAGTTCACAACAATCAAATCCCGTCCTCAGTGAATGTGATTGATGCCATCTTGTAATTATCGACGAATGCTTTGCTGTCGGATTGTCGTCTGATCTGCCTCCGTTTTAATACATACATATGCAGACCTCTTGCTCAAATATTGACAAATAAGAGAAGGTGAAATGATCGATTATCTGGCCCCAAGCATGAATAGCAAAGCAAGTGGAACAACCGAAATGCAGAGCGCCTCACGTAAAATCGTAATGAAAGCTCTGGCAGGCTAGTGAATTCAACGGATAAGTAATTATGGCGGCAAGTTCACTCAAACGAATGAAACAATTACAGAAAACAAAGATAGCTTCCACAGAGCACTCCATCATTACAATCATCATTATCCCTTTCAAAATTCATGTAAATACCATTAACTCTGAAATCCTTTCGGAAATTGAAATTCGAATGTATTTTATCATTATTGATAAATGGCATTGAACTATAAAAAAAACTATAGAGGGCGGAATAAATCATTTTTTGATTGCAACGTCTGCAGCGGAGCAGCATAGGATATATATTTGTGTATGATTACTGAAATTGAAATTGGTTGGTTTGTACAGTAACAAGTTACAATTGTCTTGTCGACCATTTTAACTTTCCTTATCTTGGCCAAAGTTTAATTTTCGTATTACTTACATGAAAACACATCAAGGTAAAGTCGTTTCTGATACTGTATCCGGATATTATAATAAATTCTGGTTTTCCAATTTCTCTTTATTTTAGACAATGTCCATATCAAAACAAAAACAAAGCAAATGAGATTGGAATACAGAAAAATATATATGTATACACTGAGGCATTTATCTCAGGCTTAAGTAAACTTTCAAATACAACAAAACAAGAAATAGGCATGCCTATTTCAATGGTTTCAATAATAATCATCATCTTAATGTAACAAATAATTCCATTTTAAATAATTAATTTTAAAATAATTCAAGAGGGCATAGTCGCCTCGGTACCCACTAAAATTTTCAAAATTATAAAAAAAAAAAAAAAAAAAAAAAAATACACTCATATTTAAGTCTGAGTGCCATTCCTGGGTGCCATATTCATACATTTTCTCACCTCATCCCCAATCTTTGTGCCACCCCCCCCCCCCCCCAAAGTTCCTCCCTGGCCCTCCTCTATTGTAAATTCCTGGACTCCGCCACTGATACCACAGATGTTTGTCACAATAAAGTGGGGAATCTGGGTCAGAGCTTCACAATACATTATTTTACAAATACAAAAGTTTGACGCCGGTTGAACATATACCCTTCATTTTGAAGACGAGCACTTTGCCTTGATGTCATGACTCATCTAATATCAATTGCATATTCTCGTTGATATGTAATTTGAATTTCATGATGGATTTATTAATATCACGATTCATCAACAACGAGCTCCGAAAAAACCGGCACGTGACTTGCATACGAGTAAATGATTGGAGTGACGAGCAATGAATATTTGGAACTAAGACGAGACTAGAGTTTCAATTAAATTTCATAACTAGGTCTAATCCACGGGGAATATAAACAGGCCTTGATTTGTGACAGTGTTTATGTCAGATCAAGAGAGAGTTAATATAAATATTATTGAGAGCTTGTAACAATATACAGAATAAGGCAATGCGCATTGTGAATCGTTTTCACTATTAGAGAAAGTTTACATCAATTTCGCATCATACAGATCGATTCATCTGATGACGATGAATAAAAAAAAGTTATTGCCAACATAAGTAATGAAAGGCACTTATGTTTATGGTTATAATTATTTCTCATTATTAAGCTTAGTCTTACCGTTGATTACAATTGCATCGTCCGCATCACGGTTAAGTAGGCCAATTTTTGTTTGACTCAACTAAAGTAAAATACAGTGAAACTAAACAAAAGATACTGTAAAACTAATACAAAACTTCATTTCAATAAATATCATAGGCCGAAAGTCATAGGCTTGCGCCTCATCCCTCTCAGCCTCCCTTAATACCACTGCTTACTTCTTCGGGAGAATGAGAGATTCACTATCTCTCTTTCTCTCAAAGACGAATAGAGCAATGTATGTGACACATGGAAACGCGTTCAATAGGCCTATCAGTTCTTGACTACATATCGCCAATTTATAGGCCTACTATAGTTAACGTTAACGTAAAGAGTAACTCTAAACCATACTTGTTATAATATAAAACGAATGAAGCTAAAGTGTATATTTGTCGTCACTTTAAATGGCATTAATCAAATGTTTTGGGCATTGTTTGCACTTCACCAGGTGGTCAGATGGAAAATATAATTCATTTGATTGAGTGCAAATCAAAATTAAGTAGTGTTAATAAAGGCCTAACATCAACAAACCACAATGATTACCAGGAACGGATTTCCTTGTAAAATATGATTACTATTCAAATGCTAGTCGCAGATCCTGTGTATCTAAAAAACATCCACACCCGGAACAACTTTACCACAACACTACCATTCAATTATCTTGCTTTACATTAAAATTCTATTAAAAAGTCCGCCCACACCATCTGTCCATTAACAAGCATTATGTATAGCTTTCTTTGTTGTTATTGTTACTCTGAAATGGATTAAGTTCAATTAAATTACATTTTCGAACAAGATGTTTTTATGCGTACGTCTGAATCTGTTTTTCATAATTTTGTTGTGGGTTTTAGTACGAATTTTGATCTAGAGGTGATTTTTCCATTCATTTTTGTGAATATTGAAGTGTTTGAAATATTTCCAAATTTAGCTGCATACACTAGCATGGGGCGTGTAGCCGTGGATTAAGGCGGTCGTGTGTTTCCCTCTTCTGCGACGGCAGCCAAAGATCGATAGAAACAACGTGAAATCGTCTAGATAAAAGATTAAAATGGCCGAAACTTGCGAGTTTCAAAGGGTGTAGCATCTGGACCCACTGGTAAGGAACACCCCCGCCCTCCCCTTCAGGAAATAGGTACACGATTGGCGCTTCACTAACCCTTCCGACAGAAACATTCTTAAATCGACCCCTTGTGTAAATGATATGGAATTGGAAATTGGGCAGTGCTGAATTTACCATAGTGTTGTAGGGGGTCACACATTAAGTACGGTGATTCTTAATAAAATTTCAATGATAACATTTATATTATACAAAGATAAAGTCAGTAGGCCAGTAGCGAATACATTATACCTCCATGATGATACAGACTTAAAGTAGATATAGTACAGTAATCCCTTTCACAAGAGAAAAATGGACACAAGATGCTCTTCTTCTACAATGTTGTCTATAAACGAAGTCTAAAACCTGTTTTTCACTAGGCGAATTTATTCACGCGAATCCAAAGCTTATGCACATGCGCATTCAGATTCCTATCGGCGTTTTTGCGAAGGAAAAAAAAAGGCGCAACCAATCAACCGACGCCTTGATTCGCGCGAACAAATTCGCCTAGTGCAAAACCAGCTTAAAGGATTAAAATTGTTATTGGTCATGAGAATTGTTTTGTCTTTGAATCCTTGGGTAGATGAACAACACAAGACCTTCGTGAGAGCGTCCAAAAGATTTCTTTCTATCAATCACTTTTAATGTGTGTAGATGTAAGTAAACATAAAATGTACATTAATGATCCTTGTCAACAAAGAAATAAGGATTAGCTCGTGGCACAGCTCATACAATGGTCAGGAGACTGAGACACAACCTATCACCTCACCACCACCCAACCCCCCGCATTCTTGCTAAACAGTGTACCAAGTTTATGTTCGTGTGCACATGCAATTACGTATGTGATACCAAGGGCATCTGGAGCCTCCGGCACAAAAGCAAATAAATTTCTTATCTAGCGTAAATTTTGTGATAAAAAAAAACAAAAACAAACACTTGCTTACCAGAGGGTAAAAATATACTGTACATGTCATACCTCTACAGTACTTCAGTCAAGTAAATAAACTCTACTTACATTGAGTTCTCTCAAATCGACCCCAGTGTTCAAGAGCCTATCACATGATATATAATGCCGTACATTTCCATCCCATGTGACTGGATGTGACAGAGCTATAGAAACTATTGTCTTTCTAAAGCTTACTCCAGACTATAAAATTTTTTTAGTTGTATGCCCATATATAGTCATGATGTGCCTATATATGGTCATGATGTGATGTTATCATGACCATATTTAGGCATGTCACATGTTTTTTTTGTTAAATAAAGTCTGGATATAGGGCTTATAATGTGTACTATCACAAACCATCAAAAAAATGTGGCTGAAACACGACTCGTAAGCGATTGATTACACTATATGCAATATCTTGCCTGCAACATATTACATACATCATACATTAATGTGTTTTCACACACACACACACACACCTTAGACATCACTTCTGTAAGGTTAGTGAGGGCTCCAGCCTCCACGTATTGTGTTCTACTGAGATGTGGAAGGAAATGATAAATGATAAACAAAAATATAAATAGTTGAAAGTAACAGAAAACTGTTGTTGCCTTTGCAGTAATATCAGTCTTGCATTCATTTTAGTCCAATAAGTTTTTCAACCGGTTCATGCATCCATTCAGTGTCGTTTAATTTACCTAATTCTTTCTTCAATTCTTCTAGCCTTTGCTCATGAAGTTCTGAAATAGAAAATTTGAACACCAACATTTGTAAGATTTTTACTTTTAGATTTGTTTACAGTATAGCAACACATAATTAATTTTAAGACAAAAAGGGTAGTACTTTACAAAATAATACAGCACAATGTATGTTTATGGATATTGTTATTCATCCAGGTAAGTATAGTATCAAAACAAGGAATTAAATAAATCGTTTCTACTGGACTAACTTGTTTATTCAATAGCAATACTTCATGACCTTTAGCCACAGAACACCAGTTAGCCTGATGATGCGTCCTAGATTGGACATGAAATATTACTATTGAATAAAAAAGCAAGTCCAGTAGAAACGATTTATTTAATTCCTTGTATTGATACAGTGCAATGTAATTTAATGCCAAACTATAGAGGGCAGCAAACAATGAATCTTATTTATCTGCCTATGTTTAATATAATACAGTAATGGGTTTTCTGGGTTTTGGCCTACAGAAAAGTGCACCAACACAAACTGGAGGTATATAGGGAAGGAGGGTAAAGGTTAGTAGTATAATTTAAGTAGAGGAAAAGGAAGTAAATATGAGTAGTATTGTTTAGATTTAGAGAGATAAAAGTAAACTCCATACTAAAGTTATTCTTGGAGGAAGTGGTGAAGTTAAAGTACTGTAATTTATACATGGCAGCAGGAGGGCTGGTTAGTCATTTATTTCTGATGATAATATTAGGGTCTTGGATATCCATATTTTGTCTTCTATTGGTCAGTTTAACTTTAAGTTACAGATGCACGTTTCTTTTTTATAGTGAAAATAAATATACATATACAGAAAATACATTTAAATAAATAATGACTGTAAAAAGTGAGCTTTTCTCATCCTCTCTCTAATACTACTACAAAAGACCTAGGCTATCTCACTGTTGGTCGTAACAAGAGTATTAGTAGCTAAGTCAGTGGCGTAACGATGGGGGCCGGGGGCCCTGTGTATTTTTATAACTGGGGGCCATTTTTGGGTCCCGGTCACCAATTACATCATAGACATTTTAGGTGTGCATTGTTATTCTAAATTTTTTTAACGACGAATAAATGATATAATAATAAATATGCATCCAGGAAATTGAGGCCAGGGAGGGAATTTCACAGTTGGAGAGTCTACCACCTCAGACCCACCATGGTTGGGGCTGAGGTAAGAAAAGTTATGAATATGGCAGCTTTAGATAAAAAATATTTTAACAAATTTAGTGGGGCCCCGGGCCGGCAGCTCCCCCTCCCCCACACTCTTTATTCCGCCACTGGATATAATACGATATGTCCTACAGTCGATTTCAAACACACATTATGCCGTTGCCCTTGTGGAGCTGAGATAAGAAAATGTATTACTATGGCACGTCTAGATGGCTGGAAATGGCACTCACAGACTTCAAATTTTGAAGTCTGTGAAAATATAATTTTCTTTTTTATCTCCATTTTAATTTTTTTTTTACAAATTTGGTGGGGTCCCAGGCCGAGAGTGGGCACCGTGGGGCCGATGAGGCCCCTTCTCTTTAATCATTATAATATGATATATGCCCTACAGTCGATTTCAGAGACACATTATGGTTTTATTTATCAACAAAGTCCTTTTTGGTCCGGGTGCTAGATCGAGGAACCTGTGGGTAGGGCTCCCTCGGGGCCCCTAAAATTTGGGGGCCCTGCGGACCACCGCATGAGAGCGCATAGGCGTTACGCCACTGAGCTAAGTAGTACTAACAGGTTTAAGAAGAGTCTTTCTTTTATTTTTTTTTAAATTTTTATTTTATTTTATTTCAAACATCATCCAACAACAAAAAGCCAATTACAGGATGCCTTAAATACATTATATAAAAACATTAAAAATACTGTACAAATAAATTATTCATTATTAATAGAATACAATTATTAAATTGGAAATTTTAAAAAGATATTGCATATATACACAAAATATACATTATACAAAAATAGTAGTGACAGAAAACATAATACATTTATAAAAACATTGAAAATACTGTACTTAACCAAATTATTAATTTATTAATACAACTATCATTAATATTGGAAATTAAAAAAGATATTGCATATAAATACATTACAAAAATAATACTGACAGCTGTCAGAACAACAGCTGCCGTCAAGACACATAATCCAACAGTGTACATTTAATAAAACTTGGACCTTCCGAATGAAATTAGTACTCTAGGCCTACTATTATACTACCTTCTCCTTGTAGGCCTACATAATACCGTTATGCCTGGCTCAGGCCATGGCATCAACAAAAAATGTGCTGAAGTCAAGACTCTAAAGAGGTCTGAAATTTCTTATTTTGCTTACCTCTTTTTAGTTGTTTAAACTTCAGTTCAGTGTCTTGGTCTATCTGATGCCGGTTCAGCTGAGGATCTAGAAAATAGACGCATACCCATGTAAATTCTGTATCTTGTGTAGGCACAGGCGGCCCTAGGCTGGGCCCTATTAGTCCAGACCGTACCTAGGCACGTTCATGCCGCGCCTATTGTTCCGTGATTGAGATCATCCTAATATTTTTGGCACTGCCTAGGCCTAGGATCAGTGTTGTTTAACCAATTAATGACAATATTAAATAATATGTGTTTTTATGGTAGTCAATGTTCACGTAATAATTACAATACCATTAGCTACGTTTTCTTCAATCATAGACGGAGATCTAAAGAGTGCTTTCCTTGGCAAAATCGAATCAACAGGACTATCCGCCATATTTCGCTGTTTGAAATTGTACACGTTGGTGGCGGTGTTAATCCTGTTTTAATAAATTGCGCCGCCACAGTTCAGACCTTGTAAACTTGATCTTTGGAGTATGTTCCTTGCTTCGGTATTCGAACCCAAAACCTAACTGGTTTGAATGTCGATCCGGACATACGTTCCCCAACCCCCCAACCCCCCACAAAAAAAAAATGTATTATCATCAAGTTTCTCCATAAACAAATTATTATAATTATATGTACAGTGCTAAATAAAGTCAATCAAAATATGTATAGGATGATGATGTTACATTACTAAATACAATCAATTTGTCACTGTTTCAGGTAAATATATTCAGGCAATGGACATTAGCAGTGCCACCGAGAGGGGGAAGGAAGAAAGATCCCCGAGGCCCAAGCTTACCAGTGTGGCCCATAGACATTGCAGGCAGTGGCGGCTCCAGAGTTTGAAATCTGTGAGGGGTGTGTTTAATTTTAGGGGGAATATGCTTTGGGTGGCCCGAGGTTGGCGTGGTCAGGTGTCGTTCAAAATGTCTCGAAGTGGTCCCGGGGGAGGGTGGGCGAATCCCCGAAAAATATGACAATTTAGGGGTTTCAGAGGCTTATTTAATCGATTTTATATGTAGATAGTCTACTAATATGTAGAAAATACATAGCATTTTTTTTCTCCCCGATGGTTTTTCTTCTTTTTTGGGGGAAAAGTGGAGGGTGGAGAAGGAAAGAAAATTTTCTGGTGGAAATTCCCCAGTGCCCCACCCCCCACCCCCGTAGCGCCGCCACTGATTGCAGTAGCATTTGTTTTTTCCAATACTTTTTTTCAAAAATAATAATTACTATCATGGGCCTTCAATGGCATGGTCCCCTAATAATGGCCCCTCCATCCACCAGAAAAAAAAACTGGGGACCCACACCAACCCCGTGCCACTGTTACAATTTCCCCTCTTGGCGGGCCTGGACATCAGTACACTATGATGTTATTGGGCAGCACTGCCTTTTTGAAGAGAGGCGAACGTTTTGTGTAAACATGACTACTTTAATGAGTGATGACTATAATGAGATTTTCAGGGATGAATAATAATATAATGAATAATAGTTTAATGGTCGATTTTGTAAAGATCACTATTACCCTTTAGTCATTGCGTCAAGCACATACTCCGGTCCGGTCCCTGAGAATTCTGTAACGTTTTAGCGCATTTTTGTGTTTAACCTACGTGGTACCCACTTGTACTCGGTGGAGAGATACAACTGACCCTGAGACCCCAAAGTTGCCTTGCCTGGGAACTAAGGACACAAGCGAAAATGCACAGCAAGGGATTCAACCTCAAGATGCAGAACCGCAACCGCTGTGCCAAACCGCTCCTAATACAGTATTTTCATCTTCATCATTTTTGCGTGGCAAAGAATATAGCTTATCATCTTCTTGTACAAGTGCACTGTACTCCTTGCTTTAAATGCAGTAAAATGATTGTCTTCATTGTCAAGAACAAAAGCACAACAAAATGAAGATACACTTGTACTAGTAATCAATAGATTTATTAAACATTTTCTTCAACTAAACCTAATCAAATTTCAAATCTTACAAAGTTGCCAAGCAACTAACCATCACCAAAATTTTACATAAATATTTAGCGCCTTAGGCGCACAACCTAAAGTTCCAATTATAACTAAAAATCGTTTTTGCGAACAAAACATTTTCTAATAAGTGACATACATGCAAATAGTGCCCTCATCGTTCATAAATGCTCAATTATAATACACCCCATTGCCTACACAAAACTTTATCCTATAAGCCTAGTCCCCATAAAAATCGCTACACGCTATCACTGACTCCTTTGGCGACGCTGATTGGTCAGTTGAATCGGGGAGCCTTCCGATTGCAGTATATATATATACATGCAGTACAACAATTGCACTGAAAACACTGTAGCGATTGTGTAGCGATTTCAAGAAAACTAGGCTTTAGGATATAAATATTGGCAACATACGACGAACATACAAAGAAAAACAACTACTGTAAGGCCCGACCGACCCAAAATGTATGAAATTGAGGTTCGGCATTTTAGTTTTCCTACAACTAAAAACATTTTGTTTAATGAGCTAAAAAGCATGGAATAAGCCTATCTTGCTGGATGGTACTGTAGGTGATGCAACAGTGTTATGCAATCGTTTAGCTTTTAATTTTTTTTTTATATAGATTTAAAAAAGGTCGTCGTCGTATTTTTGTGTACATTCTACTTTTTAGGCATAAACACATCAAAAAAAAAAAAAAAAAACTTTTGCTACCGACCTACCTATTTTTGGGATTTTCCCAAAACGTGGCCAACACATTTTTTTTTTTGGGGCCTAATGTCTAAATAAAAGAATTGTTGACATTTTAAAACACAGTGCTGTCTTGTGTGAACCATCTTTATTCAGCTAGATTGCTATAAAACTCCATCCACAATAACAAGTTTTATGTGACAAATAAATGTGATATACCCATATTTGGGTATGACATCATCATGCCCATATATGGGCACATGAGTGGACAGAGCTGATTCAATCAAATCAGCCTGAATTTATCATTTGGCTCAGCATTCACATATCTTACATTTTCCCAAATTAACTTTACAACTCATTATTAAAAATCTCAAAGTACTGTACAGAAAAAGGCGATACAGGTCTATAGACTAACAATAAAACAAATACAAAATATGAAAATAATTAATCTGAATAATATATGATATATAATAATGTACAATTAATAATTAAACCTTGATTTAGCCTGGTTTTGGGAAAACTTAAAAATTACCACAATCTATACTAATAATACAGTAATATTTTAAAAAATAATGAAAGTTAAACTGTACTCATAATTGCAGCAGAATTTAGTCTATACAGTATTCAGATGAGACCCCAATTAGAACCACAATAACCCAGCTAACAATATTACATTATAAGAACATTATAACAACGTTACAGTGTGGTGTTAAAAACGTTATTTTGTAGAACCATAAGTACATACTTATAACCTAATTTCATGTCATAACGTTTGAACTTTCTTGCAACATTGTGCGAACGTTATTTTGTGACATACCAAACAAAAATGTTCACGAACGCAATAAGAACGTTTTGTGTTTGCCGGGCATGCAGTAGCACATTAATGATTTACAATCAGTCTTTCAATGTACAATCATGTTATTCACAATAATCACAATAATTTAGTGTGATTAAAGTTATCTTTGACTATGAACAAGTAGTCCCCATCTCCTTCAGGGAACATGTACAATCATAATGATCATGTATCATCAAAATAATTATCTATGATCACAACAATTATACACGATCACAAAAGTATACAGTACCAAGGAATTTCATGCTAATCAGTTTTGAAAGTCGATAACGTCTTCGATAACACTCAAAATTAAAATAATACGTAAACACCATGTTAACAATGATATGATATATATTAATCGCATTATTACAATAAAAACAATAATAAACATATAACATTATTAATAAACAATAAATTAAAATAATGCAATAATAAATAATTATTGTTAACAATAATGATAAAATATTTATTAATTGCATTATTACAGCAAAAACAATAATAAACAATATAACATTAATATTAAACAAAACTAAATTTAAAATGTAATAATAAATAATTATTATATTATTGTCAATGTTATCATTAGTATAATCATAAATCTAATAATTAATAATAAAAAGCACATTTATATTGGAATATTTAAATGATCATAGTGCATACAATAGAACCCTGCAACCAACAGTAGGTAATAATACAGACTGGATGGAATTGTACACATTTAAAGATTAAACTAAGTCTCTATATTAAACACTTCCCTAGAAGAGCGTTAGAATATAACTTGACTAGAAAATTTGGAGAGGAGCACCACTAATATCAAGGGGGAGGTGAGTGTTAAGGTTAAGAGTGTATGTCAGGAAAGAACTACAGCAGAATACCTCATATTCCTAGATATAACTACTTATCATTACACATTTCTTGAAAAATCAAATTGTTTGCAAAACCTCTATCTATACCTACACTAATTTGTTTATTTTACATATCCAAAATGCAAAAAAAAAAAAACATTTAATAAATAAATACTACAAATTCTTTGGTGAATTCTATTATAAAAAGAAAAAATATATACTAATTAGTGTGGCCAATTAAAAACTACTAAAGTACTGTAAAGTTAAAAAAAAAAAAAAAAAAAAAGATAATGTACACAATCGTGTTAATAATGTTTGCATTCTAGGTAAGCATTATGACCTGCAGTTGAAAACAACAAATTGGATGCATGGACCAATGAAACTAACACAATATTCGCAGGATTACAAGGATACATGAATATGCATAAGGCATATTCCAAGCACCGTTCACACTCTCAAATTTTCTGTTCCAAAAAACTGTTATATGCCCCCATCATGACCATATTTAGGTATGTCACATGGCAGGGCTTTACCTTGTGTATGGTGTAAACAAGAGATACCGAAAAGGGAAACAAAGAAATCGGTGTTGAAACCTCAATGGGATATGTGATCAACTCTATCACTACTCTCCATTTATATCAGCTAGAGGTCTGAAAGGGAACTTATTACACAAAGACCTTCATTTCATTAAAAACAATCTCTAGGTGGCCAGAACTGGCAATCTCAGACTTAAATAGGAATATAATTTTCAATTTTCTTTTATTTCTCAAATATATTTTTACCACTACTATATATTTAATGAAGATGAATAACAAAGCAAAGCTAAGTATTAGGGACCCTTGATGTAATAATATATAGGCTCTTTGAAATTATAATATCCATGCTCTATATTTCCAAACGTCTTGTTGTCTTTGGTTACAAGAAAATCCTGATTTTTCTTTTTTGCAATGATTAAATCACTGTACTAATAAAAGCTCAGCTTAGTAATCACTATCCTATTTTTATTCAGCCCTTCATATTTCCACAAGGGGCTAGCATTATCAATTTTAACAGTAAGAGCTTTTTAAACACATCATATGTGGTAAAAACAAGCCATTTTAGTTACTTAATAAGGGGTTAAAAAGTAAAATTAGAGATATAAAATGGTAAAAGAATCATTTAAATCTGACGTTATGAAGTTACAGGAGTTTAAACATACAGCTGTTTAAGGAATAATATTTTAGAAATCAGCCTTCAAAGTTTATGATTTCAGGCATTTCTCAGGCAGAAACCATCACCAAATGAAAATGGGGAAAACAACAGCATAGCAT